GCCTCCTTCCTGCTGACTGAGAGGAGAAGCTGTCCGTCTGCAAGGAAAGGCCGGTCCCTGCCTTGGACCTCTCACCCTTGTCGTTTTTGCTCAGAGCGACCAGTCTCCCACACCCATCCTCCCTCTCTGGGGCATGGCTCCTTCCATTCTGGTTTCAAGCCGATCAGTCACCCTTATCTTGGAGATCTTGTTGTCCTCCCCTTCCCAGCTAGCGCCCACTCTCTCTAGCCGTTTAGGATGAGATTAGTAGGCTCTTGCCTGCGGCCACTCACCTCCACCCCATAACCCGGTAGACTAGCTCCTGTCCTCATTCCACCAAGCATACCTCTCCCACGTTCCCTTCTCCAGCTGCAATTGCTTCTCAATGACCACTCCCTTCTCTGTACGACATTTGTGCTTCCTTCAACAAATATTTATTGTTTACTGAGCACTGTTCAAAGTGCTGGATTTCAACAAACAAAAATCCCTTCCATCTTGGTTACTTTCCTGTATCCAAGATACAGCTCTTTGCCACTCTTAACCTGTCCATTTACCAATTCTGATGCCATCGCTTGTTCCTCCTTTTGCAACTTCTCACCTACTTCCAAATCAGTTCAACTCAACCTGTCTACTGAGGGCCAGGGACTGCACCAGGCACTGGGGATACAAAAGACAAATAAGATACAGTGCCTGGCCTCCGGAGCTCATGATCCCTCAGGGGAAACAAATGCCTTTAAATTAATCACAGAACAATTTTAACAGATAGGGTCTTTGAGCACCCGCTAAGGGTCAGATATTCTAATAATAAAAAGAGCCTATTGTTTTGTGAGGCTTTATATGCAACAGGCACTATTCTAAGCACCAAACCTGTATGATCTCATTTGATTTTCACAACAACCCTACAAGTAGGCACTAGTTTTTTCCCTTATTTACAGAGACGAAAACTGAGACGCAAAGTGACATGCCCAAGGCCACAGAGCTAGTAAGTGGTAGAGCCAGGATTTGAACTGAGGTATCTGTTATTTTTTAACCATCACACTAGAGGTTAGTGTGATGCACACATGTGTGATTTCTGAACCCTGTGATGCACATATATCTGATGCACATATATGCACACATATGTGATTTCTGAACCCTGCAACCACTCTGTCTCTAAGGTAGGCATAATTATCCCCATTTAAAAATAAAACAGGCTGAGACTCAGAGTGGGTAAGTAGCGTTCCCAAAATAAAACTGCTAGTAAGAGGGAGACTGGCTATAGGAAGCCTGGCCAGCTCATCCGGAAAGCCCGTGCTCCCCTTCTCGCCAGGCAGCCTGTTATCATGATCAGAACAGTCACCGAGGCCTGGGGAAAGCATGTCCAGGGAACTCAGAGCAGCAGGGATCTGTTAAGTCCACCTCGGAGAACTGGACAATGTTTTACAGAGGGCATGATATTTGATCTGGGCCCCGAAGGGTGAAGAGCATTTTGTAAGGCGGGGCGGGAGCGGAAGGCGTGTCAAGAGCAGGGAACAGTGTGTACCCAGCCGTGGCTGGACTGCACGGGACATGTGCGCGTGGCAGTGGGAGGTGGCCGAGGAGCAACGGAGATGGAGACTGCAATCAGGGCCAGGGCCAGTTGGAAGGATTTTGCTTAAACGCCAGACTTGGGCTTTATCCTGAGAGCCACAGAGAGCCGCAGGTGTCACAGGGCAGAGCTAGCCCTTAGGAGGCTCCCTGGATGGAGGAAGCGCTGGATTTGGAGAAGAACCGGGGCTGGGGAGACAGCATAAGAGGCTATTGCAATACCAAGATGATGGCAAGATGATGACCCAAATGAGGGCAGCGACAAAAAGAGTGGAGTAGTTACTTTTGAGAGACGTTTTGAGAACTTGGTGACCAAACTCAAATGGGGAGGCGAGAAGACCCAGGAGATAAAGGGACTGAATGAATCGAATGGATGGTATCTCAGGTGGGGAGCAGAGGAGAAGGCTCCGTGGGGGTGGGGAGTGGAGATAAGGAGTTCCCTTCGCCCTGAGATCGGAAGGTCTGTAAGATGCCCAGGGGGGGATGTTTCAGGGAAAGTAGGAATATGGCTGAGAGAAAGCCCTCAAGAAAGCGGGCCAGGACAGGAGAGTTCAGTCTCGTTCCCATGTGAGTACAGGTTAAAGACACGCTAGTATGCTTGATTCTGTTGCTCAGGAAAAGAGCAGGGGTGAAGAAAGGGGAGGGGAAGGAAACCCTGGGCCACACCAACAGGAAGGGCAAGTGGAGGAGGACCCAGCGATGAGGGGGAAGGTGATGACAGCCTTAGCGCGTGTCCACCTAAGGCCACTAACTCCTCAAGATGACCCTGAAGGAAAGACTCATCATCTCCATTCTGCTGAGACTCAGTGAAGGCACCTGGGGAAGGTCAGTGTTTCACCTTAGGTCTGCTAGGCGACACCTAATGCTGCTTCCTCACTCAGGTGGGAAAGACCACCTGAAGAGAGATGGAGGGGAACTGGGAATGGAGGAGTCCATGCGGGCCAAGGGAGGACAGGGCTTCAAGGAGGGGGTGGTAGACAGTGCCAAACCCCTCAGAGGGTTGAGCAGGATGAGGACTGTAAAGATGCTTTTGTCTTTCAGCTGGGAGGCCCATGTGGCTTTTGGGGGTGGAAGAGAAAGCAGCGGGGCGTGAAGAGGCTTCCTTCTCAGAATGTGTGGGATTTGCCCCACAAACCCCCACATGCAAATGGTCTCCTAAGCCAGCTCTGACCTCCCGATGCTTGCAACATCCTCTTTACCAGCCTCTCAGATGCTAACCACCTTCCCCATCCAGCCCCATCCATTCTGCAACAGCAACAATGAATATCACGGTTCAGTCAGGAACCACCTTCTTCCCACATTGCGAAGGGATGTCAGAGGCAGAGGACAGGTGGTGGAAGGCGGCAGGGAGGGATGGGAGGGAATGCCTCCCTCCTGTCCCTGCCCTGTCTGATTAGGATGTCAGCAGACATCACACTGGGCACTAGGAAAACCATGTCCGTTCTGGTTCCCTGGGACCGGGAGCAAATCATGGGCCCCTTGCTAAGCCTTTGTTTCCTCATTGGTAAAATGAAGGAGCTGTTAGGGGTCCTTCCAGCTGTGACAACCTTATATCTCATGAAATTCAAACTCCTAAACAATCCTTGAGGCTGCTCTTCCAAGGGACCCTCATTAACTTGTTACTCTGTCAGAGAGGCTTTCCTCCAGTTAGGCAAACTATCTCTGATCTCCTGAACACAGCTTGTTGTTTCTTCCCCTCACACTCTCTCTCTCTCTCTCTCTCTCTCCACACACACACACACACACACACACACACACACACACAGAGTTCCATTATTTTGGCTGGGATCTTCCAGTCCCACCATCTAGTGGTCTAGCTCTTCCGACTTTGGGAAAGGAATAAAAGGAGAAAAAAAAACAAAACCTTAATGCTGCTTTCCTTTTCTCTTTTCTCCTTCCTGCCAGGTGATCATGGTGACCGGGGACCACCCTATCACAGCCAAGGCCATTGCCAAAGGTGTGGGTATCATATCAGAGGGCAACGAGACGGTGGAGGACATTGCAGCCCGGCTCAACATTCCTGTCAGCCAGGTCAACCCCAGGTGAGGCTCCATAGGACCCCTCCCCCATCAACTCAGCCTCTCCCACCGGATGATTGAGCAGCCCCTGAGGGTATCTTGTCCTAACTGCCGGTTCCCTGGTCCCAAGCCTGTGGCAAGACTGTGCCACTGATTAGCTGTGTAACCTTGGACCTGTCACTTTACCTTCCCGAGCCTCCATTTTCTCAACTTCAAAATTAGGGTAGTAGCCACGCTGCTGGTTTCTATAGGAGTGAGATACGTATAAAGGAACTAGCGCCTGGCCCAGCACACTGTACTGACGACTGTGATGCTGCCGCGTGGTGAGGACTGAGCACCTGACCTGACCAAGACAAGTCACTGAGTGTCAGGGAGAGGAAGACTGAAGCTGTTGGGGAAGACCCGGCAGTGGCGAGGAGGGGTGGTGGGGTACCAGGGAATCAACCGGCTCTGCCTCTGCCTCCAGAGAGGCCAAGGCGTGTGTGGTGCACGGCTCTGACCTGAAGGACATGACGTCAGAGCAGCTGGACGAGATCCTCAAGAACCACACGGAGATTGTCTTTGCCCGGACGTCTCCTCAGCAGAAGCTCATCATCGTGGAGGGCTGTCAGAGGCAGGTGAGCAAGGGGGTAAGGGTCAAGGCCAGGGCCAGGGCCAGGCACGTGCAGGGGCTGCACCCCCAGCCTGGCTGTACCTTCTCTCCAGGGAGCCATTGTGGCGGTGACAGGGGACGGGGTGAACGACTCCCCCGCGCTGAAGAAGGCGGACATCGGCATTGCCATGGGCATCGCTGGCTCTGATGTGTCTAAGCAGGCAGCCGACATGATCCTGCTGGATGACAACTTTGCCTCCATCGTCACGGGTGTGGAGGAGGGTGAGGGGCTACACAGGCTGGGATGCCATCCAGGATGTCTGAGCTGGCACATCTGCTTCACTGCCTTTTACCCCAGTTACAGACTCAACTCAGGATCTCAGGCATCCACCGCCTGCTTTAGCTTCCCTCTGACACAAAATCTCCCTTTGTTGGGTAGACAAGCGGCCATGCTTCAGGGGCTAGGGGTGGGGAGGGTCCCTCTGATCTCCCTGATGCCTTCAGAACCTCCCCACAGGCCGCCTGATCTTTGACAACCTGAAGAAATCCATCGCCTACACCCTGACCAGCAACATCCCCGAGATCACCCCCTTCCTGCTGTTCATCATTGCCAACATCCCCCTGCCTCTGGGCACTGTGACCATCCTCTGCATTGACTTGGGCACTGACATGGTGAGGCCATGGGTTGGAGGAGGGGACAGGCAAGGCAGTCATGGGGGTGCAGTGGGTAGGGGTGGGCCCTACCCCCTGGAAGGAAAGGTGCATCAGGGACAGCTGAGGAGGCTGTGAGGGTTGCAGAGAAGATGGGCACAAAGCCTGGAAGATGATAGGGTCTCGGGTCTCTTTTTTTTTTGACTGCGTTGGGTCTTCGTGGCTGTGCACAGGCTTTCTCTAGTTGCGGCGAGTAGGGGCTACTCTTCATTGCAGTGCACGGACTTCTCATTGCAGTGGCTTCTCTTGTTGCGGAGCACAGGCTCTAAGCACACGGGCTTCAGTAGTTGTGGCACGTGGGCTCAGTAGTTGTGGCTTGTGGGCTCCAGAGCACAGGCTCAGTAATTGTGGCGCACGGGCTTAGTTGCTCCACGGCATGTGGGATCTTCCCGGACCAAGGATCGAACCGGGGTCCCTTGCATTGGCAGGTGGATTCTTAACCACTGTGCCACCAGGGAAGTCCAGGGTCTTGGGTCTTTATAAGTGTTTGAATTATGTCAAAGGTTCTTCACTGTTGATCACCCTCTGCTCCCACCCTCTCCTTTCAAATGCCGTCCTCTCCCCAACTGCCCCCTTGCACAGGTCCCTGCCATCTCCTTGGCTTATGAGGCAGCTGAGAGTGACATCATGAAGCGGCAGCCAAGAAACCCGCAGACAGACAAGCTGGTGAACGAGAGGCTGATCAGCATGGCCTATGGACAGATCGGTGCGGCCGGGCCCGGGGCTCAGGAGGGAACCCCAAGAAGATGCTTCTCCCAGCCTTTGGAGGGATGATCCCCCTGCAAAATTCCAGGACAGGGGCCAACTCCCCGAGGGTCAGGGATGTCCGTCCTTCTCTGGCCCATAGGGGCTGGTCCCATCCTGTTACCTTCTATGACCCAGGCCCTGCCCTTTGTCCTTTGCCCACCACCCACAGGGATGATCCAGGCGCTGGGTGGCTTCTTCACCTACTTCGTGATCCTGGCAGAGAATGGTTTCCTGCCTTCACGGCTGCTGGGAATCCGCCTCGACTGGGACGACCGGTCCATGAACGACCTGGAGGACAGCTACGGACAGGAGTGGGTAAGTGGCGCTGTGTAAGTGCAGATGCACACATATGAGAGGGTAGGGCTGAACGTCTGGCAGGAGTGGTCAGTTGTGGCCAGTGGGATTTGGGGCTAAGGGTGGAGTAGGTGCCCAGGGTTTAACATCTGCCCTGGACCACGCTGTACCCTGTTCCTACCCTTTCCTCTCACACCCTCACCTCTCTCTGCCCACCCTCCCCCAGACCTATGAGCAACGCAAGGTGGTGGAGTTCACTTGCCACACGGCCTTCTTTGCCAGCATCGTGGTCGTGCAGTGGGCTGACCTCATCATCTGCAAGACCCGCCGCAACTCAGTCTTCCAGCAGGGCATGAAGTGAGCACCGCCCACCGGCCCTGCCCACCAGGCAGAACGCATTCAGGGTGCACTCACCCACCTACATCGGCTGGGGTCTCCGACTGTAGTTGCCCGGCTGTAAATCTGTAGCCTTTTTGGGAATAGATGAGCGAAGAGGAAGGAGGGCTATGACTCTTTCTGATGAGTTTTAATTTGCTCCCCAAATCTCCTTCATTATGGTCTCCTTCCATCGTCCTTCCTTTTCATCTTGTCCCCATACCTCTCCCCTCCCTCCCTTCTTCCTTCCTCCCTTCCTTCCTCTATCTTATACTCTATACTCACCCCCACCCCTTGGCCCAGCCCTAAATACAGGGTCCCCTGTGCTCCCCTCCACTCGGCAGGTAGCTCTAGTTTACAGCACTTGCCTTGTGGTGGTAATGTTGTCCTTGTGGGAGCTGTGAGCTGCTCAGGGTCAAGTTCTTACAGTGTGAGTTACATCTGCCAGTCACTGTGCTAAGTGATTCACAGACATCGTCAAACCTCACAGTAGCTCTGTGAGGGAGGTATTATTTTCATTCTATGGATAAGAGACCCCCGCAAAATGTTAATGGTGTGCCTGGGGTCACCCAGCTGGAAATAGCTCAGCCAGCTCTCTTTCTGAAGCCCAAGCTCGTGACTACTACCCTGGGTGGCTCACCTGTCACAGCCTGGCACCTGGGGGGTACCAGTGATTCCTCTTCAGCTCAGCCTGGATGGTGGTCGGTGTCGAAGGTATCACTCCCATTCTCTTTCTTTTCTTCTACTGCAAACAATGGGCACAATTCCCCACGTGAGTTTTGTCACAATTTCTTAGTTTGAGAAAATATATATATATATATATATACCAAAACTCCAGGGAAATTAATAGCGTTTGAGATCCTAGGGAGAGGAAAGGGGAAAGTCTGTTAGATGAAGGAAGGAGATTCCAATGAGCTAAAAACACTAACGGGGACAAGGCAGTGAGCAGAGAACAAGGAGCAGAGGGTCCAAGACACTGGGTGACCGACTGTGCAGGGCATGGGTGACACGGCAAGCAGGGGACATGACCAGACCGGCTAAATCCTGCCCATCTGAGAGGCAAGTGGAAAAGAAACTAAAAAAAAGTCAGACTGGGACAGGGAAGAAATATTAATAACAACAAGTAACCTGGCCCGAGGCAGCCTTAGCACCTTATGCCCCATCCTGGGGTGTCTGGACCCTCAGGGGTCCTCAGAGATGCTCTGTGCATTATTCAAACAGCTTTATGGAAATTAAGCACTTCCTCTAAGAAGATTCCCAAGCTTACCAAAGTGTCATTGTCAGGCAGAAGACTAAGTATGAACTATAGCGATCACATGCTAATACACAATTCTCTTTGGAAGCCGTGTGTATTGCTAATTAATTTTCTAATTGGGGAAATATATTCATTACTTTTTTTTTGGCCTCGCTGTGGAGCATGCGGGATCTCAGTTCCCCAACCAGGGATCGAACCTGTGCCCGCTGCAGAGGAAGCACAGGGCCCCAACCACTGGACTGCCAGGGAATTCCCTATATTCATTACTTATTAACAAATGCAGCTGGAGAGAAAAAAATCAATTAAAATGTGCCCCTTTTAGAAGAAAAATAAGAGGGATCCTTAATGAGTGAAAAGTTTGGGAACCACTGGCCTAAGCCATGAAGAGGTGCAGTGCATGAGATTATAAAATACAGCTAAGAACGTTCCACGTTCAAGAGCTCTCCACGCATTATCTCCCATAATCTTCCCAGCAGTCGTAGGATATAAAGGTACTATCTCCTCCACAGAAGGAGCATGAGACTCAGAGAAGTTAAGCAACATTGCTTACAACCAGAAGCTAGTAAGTGTCCCGGCTGGGACTAAACTCCTCCTGTCCGACTCCAGACACTGTCCTCAGAGCCTTATTCTCTCCTGCTCTTCAGTTCTGATGTGGTGAATATATATTCAGCACTTTTTATCCAGTGAGCTTTCCCTTTCTGAGTACTTTACGAACATTGCCTTCTCTTTTTTTGTTGTTTTTCTGCGGTACGCGGGCATCTCACTGTTGTGGCCTCTCCCGTTGCGGAGCACAGGCTCCGAACGCACAGGCTCAGAGGCCATGGCTCGCGGGCCCAGCCGCTCCGCGGCATGTGGGATCTTCCCAGACCGGGGCACGAACCCGCGTCCCCTGCATCAGCAGGCGGACTCTCAACCACTGCGCCACCAGGGAAGCCGCATTCCCTTCTTTATTGAATATCTATGACCAACAACTACCTGGGGCTGTAGGAGACACTGAGAGGGTAGAAGACATAATTGGGGCCTGAAGTGAAGGAACAAGCATCTTGCTGGGGAGATGACACTTTCATAGGCCACGTGCCTGGAGCAGTAACAAGATCATAAGCTGCGTGAGGGCAGCTTCCCGTGTCTCCAGAAGGAAGCTTGCATTGACCACAGCATCTCCAGCACAGAGCGTATCACCCAACACATAGGAAACATGTATTTGATGAATGAAAGTAGGTGTTATAGACGATAATCGGAGGTAAAATCAGTAAGCAGAAAAATTAAAGACAATCTTTCTATGGTTACATTTAGCATGAGAAGCAGCATTTGAAGAAGGCATGGGAAGACGTCATTTATAGCCTTTCCCCAGCGTTTCTTCC